CTCTCTCTCTCTCTCTCTCTCTCTCTCTCTCTCTCCCCCTCCCTCCCTCTCTCTCTCTCAATGTTTTTGCTGAAAGACTATTGATTAGAGATATAAATATTAATTTACTACTTGCAGACACTAGACATATATGAACATATGGAATGCTCAGAACTTATTTACTAACCAGAAATAAAAACCTCATAATCTACTAACTAGTAATCCTGAGGTCAAAGTTTAAAACCGAAACTGGAAGAAAATTTAGAGCCTTCAAACTTTAAGATCAATAGCCAGTACCACGCATAGAAAGGGTGGATGGATTTCAGTTAAAGCCCTTAAAATTATTCACCACTCCTTAACCACGCAAGGAGTAGCACAATATCTTGAGACTAGTATTGCGAACTTTCTGCACACCAAATAGATTCACATGAAGTTGAGCATTCCAAAAAGTTGTGGTTTATGTTTGACTTTCAAAATTATATCTTTTCAGGTTAATAACGGAAAGGCCAGACACAGACTCACCTGGCCATCTGATCCAGTGAATTCTGTATCAATAGCATCACGAGTCGTTCCACTAACCGGACTAACAATTGTTCTGTCCTCTCCAACTAAAGCATTCAAAATACTACTTTTACCAACATTTGGACGACCAACAATGGCGATTGCAGGAACGTAATTCTCTTCTTCAAGATATTCTGGCTCCTACAAAATATTTCAAAAAGTAAAATATTTCCCTTTTCTTTTTGATTGGTAAAACAATTGTATTAAATGAAAAGGGTTCAAGATGAAGAAGGAGGAATACAAAAATTAACAGGAAAAGGAAAATAAAACAACGGAAAAAGCTATAATAAAATCCAGAAATTTCCTATGCGTTAAGTTACTAAGAGGAAGTCCAAGACATGTGTTCCCCACTACCTTCCTTGAAAATTTCATTTTCTTGTGAAAAAATTAACTCTCTACTGAAGCCTTCACCTGGAGGAGCTGAAGAGAAGAAGATTTCTTTGGCTGCCATGAGGTTTCCATCTTCTATAGCAGTAACTCATGCCCCCTTCTAACATTGCTCTTTCATCTGAATCCCCGGGATTGATCCCACATAAACTTTAGATTTCTTTTCATAACTTCCTTTTCATAGTTTGATATATAGATGAAAAAATTTAATTTGCTTCATACCTCCGATAGCTGTACAGATTTATCCTATGCATAGCTGTTTTCAGATTCTGTACATGTAGCTTTGATTCGGCACCAACTTTTGTGTTGTTGCTTTTATAGTTTACTTAAATTAGCGAATATGTGACTTAACCTATTTCTGTGCATAATTTCTGGAAATAAGGCACAGAAATACTCCTCAGAGGCCTTAGCCACTAAGATAGTATACTAATCCAAGTAAAAGGACACCTAATCTCAGCGCAGACGAAAGAGTACCTCAACTTTCTTTATCCCTGAGCAAACAAGATCTAGAAGCTCTCCAGTTCCAGTTCCCGATAAAGCAGATACTGGAAGGGGATCAAACCTAATAAATTAAACAAAGGAACATGTTTTATAAGATTAAAGAAAAGGAACATTTAAACAGCAGTCATGAAGTTACAATGTTTATTTATAAAGAATGAATCAAGTTCATTGATGCATATCATATTGAATTTCTGAAAAAGAGTAGGGAAAAGAATTCTAGTTTTTGAAAATCTCAAGCCCAGAATGCAACAGACTTTCAAATAAACAAAAGAAATAAACAGAACTTATGGTACAAAAATAATGATATATTGCCAGAATAATCAGCTCACCCCAAAGACCAAAACTCTGATGCTTGTGAGATTCCCTTGCGTGGAGATTCACACTTATTTACAGCAAGAATAATACATTTGTCCGAGTAGTGCTTGCGTAGCCAATCTGCTATTTCCACATCAGCAGCATTTAGACCTGCCTGTTTAAAATTTGTTATTCTGTCTTACCATATTAAGCTATACACTTTAACCACTAATAAGGATAAGGTAATGTCTCGCAATCAGAATTTGACAAAAGAATATGACAATAAATAAAGTTACGACATCCATATATTAAGCACGTTGGTTCTGCTAACTGCATGATACATGAGAAGCTTAAGAATGTGTTGGGGAAGGCTGTGGCGGAGCCACATGTATTCAAGGGGTGTCGGTTACACCCCTTCTTCAGAAAATTACACTATGCAGATAGGTAACATATTGACACCCCTTGGCTTTTTCATGAGTTTACTTCTTTATATTTTGATCCACCTTAGTGAAAATTCTGGCTCCGCCACTGGGGGAAGGGGTAGAGAGAGTGAGGTGGGTGAGTCGAGGGTGGGTTGAGAAAAAAGGGGAACAAAACTCTAATTACGGTTCAAGGAAAATGCTTTCTTCTTGGGCCTTAGGGAAATCATTTTCCTTTAATTTCAGGGAAATATTTTCCTAGACAAACGAAAAGTAGGAAAACATATTCCGAAAATATATCCTTCATACCAAACACACCCTCTATCTTTTTGGAAATCTCATTACCTAAAAATGAAAGTTCATCACCCCTTATTAATTAATTTTTCAAAATACAATTAGTCTCCAAGTAATTCTGCTAAAGGGTATACCTGGCCATCAACAAGGAATATAATGACAGATGACTCTTCAACAGCCACAGTAGCTTGTTTCTCAATCATTGAAGGCATTCTAGCAACAGCAGCCTCCCTGGTAGCAAGTGGAATGCCCTCCATTCCAATTGTAGTTGAGATAGCAAGTTCTTCCATTAAATCAGCCTGTGATTTCGAAATGGTAAGCACACCTCCTGTATCCACCACCACAAATTCATAGTTTCCCCAAAATGCTCTACCATACAAGCGATCCCTTGTTACCCCGGGTTCATCTACCACAATGGCCTTCTTCCCCTGATGAAGATAAACAAAGTGTCATGAAGAGAAAGCCAGAGCAAGAAGAAATCATATAAGAAAACTGGATCATTTATAAAGATTGTCAAGGTTCTATTTCCTGGCAATCAAAAATCAAGACAAGTTTAGAGAAAATACCCCAACAAGACGATTGAATAGTGCTGATTTACCAACGTTCGGTCTTCCAACAATCGCCACCTTAGGAAGAAGATGATCAGGAATCTGCAAATAAACTTTTACTGGTCAAGTCAACCGCATAAAATTAGATATTCATATAGATCACAGAAAATTAGTAGAATACACATAGAGGACATAGAGGGTAGATCTTCACAAAGCACTCAGAATGTTAGTACAACAACAACAACCCCAATGTAATCCCACAAGTGGGTCTGGGCTGGGCTGGGCAGGGCAGGGTAGTGGGTACGCAGCCTTACCCCTACCTTGTGAAGGTAGAGAGGTTGTTTCCGATAGACCCCGGCTCAGGAAAGCATAGTCGCATCACTTGTTGAAAAAAAAAAAAACAAAGCACTCAGAATGTTAGTTGCTGAACTGCATTTGTACATATTTTAGCCGTTTGCTTGATGGAAATCTATGTTGCGCAAGTCTTCCAAAAATGTCGCCGGGTATGTTTCGGATCCTCCAAAAGTAATGCTTTTTTGGAGGATCCGACATCGGTGCGGCCGCATTTTGGAGGATCCAAGCAATATATTGGAAATTGCATTCCAACCTATCCTCCTTTTTCTGGCTAGACGAGTCAATTCAGCAGCTCAACACAGGAGTCTCTTAGATTCAAAACGCATAGCTACTCATGATTCCAAGATACTAGTTGAATAATCACAAAATAGAAAGAGTTGAGTCAAGTAAAAGAAAGATGTAGTATCTTGTGCTTATCATAATGCGAAAAATGAGGACAAGCAAATACTTAAAAATGAGTTATGGTTGCAGGCTCACTTCGGGCTCTTTCTTCAGTTTCAGGATTAATAATCAATTTACAGTTTACACATAGCAGGCTTATATAATAACAAACAAAGGGAAGAATCCCTGAGACAAGAATATCATATCGTGATTTATGAACAAATCTCTACTACAGTTCAATTTTACTTTCTCAGTAAGACTCTAAAAGTATGGGAGTATAAGTTCCAACATAGTAGCAGATGAGATACTAACATTTTTTGAGGTATTATTACGTCTCTTCTCCTTGACTTGTGCTTCTTTTGGACTAGATCTCTCCTCATCTGTAATCAACACAGGAAGAACATCTTGAGCGTTAAAGGGCTAAAAAGATATAGGCTGCGACAATGGAACAGTTTAGCAAGATCTTATACAATATATTGCATTTTGGTCTCATCTTCCCTGCAATTCACTGATTAACAGCCAAATTAATTTCCAAAGCTTCAGCAGTTAAAGAGCTGTAACAAGATTATCCACAGAACTCCATCCATTGCAGTATCGTTGAACCTCTGTGCTAGAGTTACATGTCGGCAATTTGCTAGTATTTAGGAGGAAACCTTTCTGTTGAAATAACATATGCATGATGGGAACGGGGAAATGCAAAGGCCCCATGTTTGTGCAGATACAGGAAAAGGGAAGATAGCACCTAAGGGTGTGACTTAGTGGTCAATGAAGTGGGTTGAGAACTTGAGTTCTCATGTTCAAATCCCTGCGGAGACAAAAACACTAAGTGATTTCTTCCTATATGTCCATGCCTTGGTAGATAGAGTTACCTGGTACCGGTTGCTGGTGGAGGTAGCAGGTATACTGTGGAATTAGTCGAGGTGCGTGAGAGCTGGCCCGGACACCACAGTTAGAAAAAAAACAAGGAAAAGGGAAGATAGTATTTTGGATTTCCCTGTTTAAAAAGGTTAAAACTTCAGCATCAAGGGGAAAAATAAATCTTATACTCAGAACAGTTCAACTTTCAATTAAGATTCCTTCACTCTACTACTGTCCCCTTTTGCCACTTTATATTCAACTAGAAAGTGTGGTCTAATTTTGAAGCTCAAAGGACAGCCCAAGACTCTGTTTAGTTAACCTTCTGAACAAACACCAACAACAACAATAATAACAAACCCAATGTAATCCCACTAGTGGGGTCTAGAGAGTGTAGTGTGTACAAAGACCAAACAAGGTAAAGAAAAATATGATAACAACAATCTCTCACATTTGTAACTTGTATCAGATTAAACTCAATATACCAAACAATAACAACAATCTCTCTCACATTCAAGAGGCTGCAATGTATTTTTAAGTCAGTGGAGCTGAAATACCATTGCACCCACTACTTCTTTGTGACAAAGTTTTGGACTTTTACATTTCAGGATAGAGTAACTCTCTCTATTAATATAACTCGTAAAGTGGAAGTATGGAAATAGAGATAAACCTATAGTCAATTGTCGAGACAAAGAATCCGAAAACTCTCGAACGACAAGTTCAGCTTCACGTTCCAGTGAGTCAACATCAATGCTATCATCATCTTCAACATACTCTTCTTCTAATTCAGAGTCTTCAATTTCCACCAACTCCGCTTCTTCATCTTCATTTTCTCTACTACTACTACTACTACTACTGGAGAATGGTACGGCCGGTGGAAGGGAAAAACTCCGGCTAAGAGTGTAGCGGCGATGGCGGAGGTGGCAACGGCGGGAGAGAGAGAGAGGTGGAAGATATGGAATAGATGAAGAAGTGAGTGAAATTGGGGAGAGTAGAGAGAGAGTTCGTGATAGAGATATTGCTGCACTCACCTCCATTGATGCTGAGAGAGTGAAAGAGTGAAGCAAAGAGAGGTTTATCCTTTGTTTTCCGGAGGGGCTTATCAGCCCGTAGCTTTATAAATCGAAAGTCGCATTTGAATTCATAGTCGTATTAAAAGATTGTGATTACACAATAATGAGATTATTCTAACGTATTTACAATTGCGATTTCTAAGTCCATCTAGCAAATGCGATTTAGAATTGCAATTTATAACTTGCATTTAGCAATTGATAAGTCGATTCGGAAACACCAATTTATTTAGCAATTTCGATAGTATAAGTCGATTCAGAAATTACAATTTACAAGTCGTATTTACCAATTGTTATTTATGCAATTACGAGTTATAAGTCACAGTTACAAATTGTGTTTTATAAGTACAATTACGATTAATAAGTCTCTTTTTTGCAATTGCATTTATGATATTTACAGAACTATACCAACTACTATTACATCAGTTTCTTTCTTATTGAAATTAGAAAGAATTTATAAAGATGAATATACTAGGGTCTGGTCATTACGACCCCCTTTATGAGGAGGCATCCCTTCTCCAAAGTGATGGGGTATTTTGTCGAGTTTCTTAAAGAGAGTAGCATAGGTACCCATTGGCGATACACGCACCTAAAGTGTTATTTGTAAGTGCATTTATGATTTACCAATAATATTTTATAAAGTCGTATTTTTGAAGTATGATATGAGTCGCACTTTTTGAATTATGAATTATAATTATGAGTCGCATTCTTGAAGTGTGAATGATGAGTCGCATTTCAAAAATATGACTATTGCATTTATAAAAGAGAAAACTACATGGGAGAGCACTCTTAAAAAGTTATTTAAGAAAATAATATCACTTATTCTTTATTCCATATATAGCAGAAATTTTTACAATATTAACACATTATAAAAATTATACAAAAGCTGATTGCCCAAATCAAGGGATCTGATATTTATCCTTATTTATCGTTTACCCTCTCTCTCCTCTTAGCAGTTTTAAAAATAAACTAATCAACAAAGCAAGGGGTCACAAAACTCTTCTTTTATTTACTTAAGGGATAAAAAATGAAGATTTGCTTATTAATTTTTTTCTCTCTTCTTAAAAAAAAAAAACGTTTATAGAGAGATTTTCTCACAGTTCCTCAATTATACCATAATCGAATCCTCAAAATGTTGGATAATATCCAGATAAAGTATATACTAACTAAACCCAATTAGATAAATAGAATATACCATGTATTTTGAAGACAANACTCAGTGACACCGGGTTTTGGGAGTATTTATATTTGTACTTTTGAGATTTCTTTCGCTGAATTTAATCATTTTATTTTCAAATTTAAAAGATATATGGTTTATTGAGATTTTTGGCTTGCCTAGTATTGAGATAAGCGCCATCACGACGGATGAGATTTTGGGTCGTGACAGAGGGGATGATGTGTTAGCAATGAGTGTGATTTAGGTGATGGCATGAAATTGAGGAAGTGTGAAGTCCAGGGTGCCTTGGTTATAGGAGGAGTTATTGAGGTCCTAATTTTTTGGATGGATTTTTAGGAACTGAAACGTTTGGAATTTTTTTAAACAAGATTCACGGTCTAGATTTATAGGTTCTATTAAGGGATGTAATTAATTAGCTGCTATATTTGTTAATCACGGATTGCTGCTAGGATTTTATAAAATTTTCTTAAATATTGCCTATTTGTGTTTTTGTCCCCTTATAAAATGCTATTAATATTCATCTCCAAGACGGACTGTTACCTCAATTAACTCAAGACGCGTATAAATCACATTTTACATTTGTGTTTTGCATATTTCGGGAATTCTCACTAAAATAACACACAATGTTTCAGTCAAATATCCCATATTTTGGGGGAAAACTGCAAAGACCTAAAAAGATAGTCCCAAATGTGGGTAAAAATAGAGATTTGTTTTTTATCTCAATAAGATTACAATACTGCGGTGCCAGTTTAGGTAAAACGGTCATTTGTATTATTTTTGTCAATAAGTAAAACGGTCATTTGTATATATATAAAATAAAATAAAAAATACAAAAGATAAACGACATTTTGGTTCTCTGAGATAAAAGGTGAAGATTGCTAGCTTTAATTGGGTAAATTTTTATTTTCCCGAAAATTCATGTAATAAGGTTTGACTGCAACGTTCAAACTATTACACAAATTAAGAAAGAGGGGTACATACATCTCTTTTAACAACATTGTGCTTTTATCATTGGAAACTAAAAGAAAAAGATATTCTATATAACAGGCAGCAACTGGTCTATCTACTAGAAATAAAGCTGCTTCATCTAAACAATGCCTCTCAACTAAATCTTGGCAAATATATATCACCAAACATAAATGCTAGTTCCCATACAACTGAAAACCAACCAACCAACCAACCAACCAACCACCCTCCTCCAATGACCAGGCGCATATTTCACTAGCTCTATTGATTAAAATAACAACTACTGTGCCTCAATCGCAAGCAAGTAAGGGTCCACTTCTCTTGTCCATATCGTTCCATATAAGCTCTATCTCAGTCGGGCAGCCCGGTGCACAAAGTATCCACATTCACACAGCGTCTGCGGAAGGGTCGCACCCCAAGGGGTGTGATTAGCATTAGTTGATGCTTCCATGGCTCGAACCCATGACCTATAAGTCAAGCTATCTCATTCCAATATTATACAAAACAAACTTACCTCTCCTTATAAATCTTGATAAAACTCATTAGAGTTTACATGTATAGAGCCTAAAACAATTTATCACTGCTATTCTTCAAGCTATTGCAGCCAATGTAATGCATACCAAATCAAGGCGAAATCTAGTTAGTGATAGCAATTCCAGAATTAGCAATACCATATAAAGCTTTGCCTGATAGTTATTATCAGATTGTAGCAAGACTCTGCTCTGGTTTAACCATTATCTTGACTGGTTTCCCGAGCTTGGATTTATCTTCCATTCGAGCAATTTCAAGAGCCCTCGCACAAATTGGATATCCCTGATCATCCCATGACTCCAGTATTACGCCAGAACCAATACAAGTTCTTCCGTCGTAAAAGGCTGCAAATTGTCCAGCTGCCAGACCCTGATCATCTTCAGATATCCGGACAACTGCAACTTCCTGACCGTGTTCATCAACTTCTATGACCAAGCTGCAGTTGTAAAAACCGGGACCATGACGAACCTAGAAAACCAGTAAAAACTGAGAATTTCGCTTGTATATCAACACCATATTACTCTGAATTTACAGCGCTGCCACGCTCACATTGCAAAATATTGAAAAAAACAACAGTACGCTCCTAAAATAAAAATAATCAAGCAAAAGAAAAATGAAATCCCAAGAAATTCAACTCATATCTCCACTAGTCTGCTATGTCACGTATATTATAGCCTTTGCTCTTTACAGCCTAAGTTCATGTTGAACATTCTTAGATACGTATAAAGGTGTCAATGAACTCAAAAAATAAACAAGAAGTTTAAAGGAGGAAAAAATAAAAGAAAGGTTTACCTTGCATTGAAGCTGACTGATTTGTCTAGGAGGTAACCCACTGAGCCATTTCAAGGATCCAACACAAAATAACCGTCTTTTCTTGTCAACAGAGAAATAATTTCTTGATACATATACGACATTGTTTTTAATATCTTTCTCCACAACATACCTACAAAGTAAGCAAAATATCTAATAAGTACATTTGAAAACTCATACAAAAGAACAACATATATTTGGATTGATGATTACTATAATTGCTCAAAATTCCTAAACGCAATGAAGATCAGGGCCATAAGATGACAATACGCAAGCATTTTGTTCTCTTTGGAGGGTGGATTATGGCAACTATCATCCGCCATATAATTTTGTTAATGATCAAGTAGCCATGTGCAGTAGGCGGTTAATAACACAATAAAAAACAATTGGATATAAGATAATCGAATTGCATAACTACTTGAGACCAGAGCTGGTCACATATATATTAAGAAAGAGCTAGTAGCCACATACCAGGGCCCTCCAGGAAGACGTAAACCTTGGCGTTGGCCAATAGTATAGAACCAAAAGCCACGGTGGTTTCCGAGATAATCTCCACTCTCTGCTTCCAATATAACACCTTCTGATTCTCCAATGTGTCTAGCGACAAATTCACTGAATTTTATCTGAAATTCCAAATGGAACTGAGACTAAGATCTTTTGGGGACAATTGAACTATATGCAACTACAAAAAATTAAGAACAAATCTTAAACTTTTTGGAGAAGTTTGCAATCTAACAGAATTAAGAAAGTGTATAGCTAAAATAATGAGCCGAGGGTCTATTGGAAACAACCTCTCTATCCTCACAAGTATGTTGTTGTTGTTGTTATAGCTAAAATAATGAATCTACGGCTAAAAGATTTGTCGTGTAGACCCTCTACGCAGAAGATGAAGTTTTCAAATGTAACTAGTCATGGTTATAGAACATACTTATATTACTCGTATTGGTGCATGGCAAAATATGAACCTCCACATCCCATTATAAAGCGTTGGCAGCTTGATATAAAATGGTTCAGATATAGCAAAAAGATTGTAAGGCCCACTTTGCATGGACAAGTTTAGACAATTACCTGTTTGCCGCAACAAATCCGGCAAGCTCATCTATTTTTGTTTAGCAAATAATGCTCATGAGTGATGGTTAAGAGAGCTACTTAACTGGTTATAACTTACCAGCAGGAATAGCTAAACTAGTTAGTAACTAACTTATTTAAGTTACTTCATGAGAATGGCATACGACTGTACCGACATCACCTTATACCAAAAAACAAAAAATTCATGTTAACTGTCGAATGTGCTGGTAAAACAGACCTTGCCAAGAAAGCATATTCCTTGCGAATCCTTCCTGTCTTGGTTTGGTAGATTAAATGATTTAGCAAGCATGCGAACTTCATCCTGTAGATACGTGACGAAAGATTAAGAGCAATTCAGCCTCAATGAAGAATTGAATTTTTCAAATGATCACATCCCAGTACGAAGGAGGGTAAAGACGATTCTCTCTCAGCAACATAATATTTGATCATTATAGCAACGATATTGTAAAGAAGTGATAAGCGTAATGAGAATAGTCTC